GGATATTAATCTGTAACATGCATGTATCCTAATTACTTAATTGTTCTATCTCTGCTGGATATATATTTTAAAATTATAATATTTTTCATATTTTAAAATTATAATAAACACTGTTCTAAACATCTTAATGGATTCAATTGTTAATAAAATCTAATTTGGGAATAAAATTCTTGAACTGTTGTCTTTGCCTTTCAGTGGTTTAGAAATAGTTTCACTTTATTTTAAATTCCGGGGCTGCAAATGATAAGTTTGATGCTTATCTGATTTTCTTTCTTTTCAAGAAAACTTTTTTTATTACATATAAAAATTTATATGATTTTAAATTTATACTTGTTTAAACCAGTCTCTAAGATATGTGTATATACATGTCTCTTTTCAAAAAATCTTTCTTGGAGCTCACACACCATTTTAAATCTGAAAATTGAAATTTTATTATAGCTTAGAATTTTAAAAATTATTTTTTTGATGTTTGCTTCTTCACTTCTTGTTTCTTCTAAAATTGCTTCTAGCACACCTATTTTCCCATATTAGGTTTCCTCCATGTGTCTTTGTGTTTTCATATTTTTATTCATAGTTTGTATTTCTCTGAATTTAATATATTCTCTATTTGATCTAACAGTTTGAGCTTTTTATTAATGTGACCATTTTACAATTTTTTCTATGAACTACTAAATCTCAAATAGAGTTTTATTTTAATTTCCAGAAACTCTCTTAATCTATGTTCTTAAGGTTTCTTATTTCATGTACGTTTGTGTATGCAGTCAGCCCTCCATATTTGTGGGTTCTGTATCCACTGATTCAACCAATCAAGGATCAAAAATATTTGGGAAAAAACCAATAAAAAGTATCAATACAACAATAAAAATAATGCAAATTAAAAAACAATAGAGTATAACAACTATGTACATAGCATTTACATTATATTAGGTATAAGTAATCTAAAGATGATAAAGCATACAGGAAGATGTGCATAGGTTACATGCAAATATTAGGTAATTATATAAAGGATTTAAGCATAATTTTGGTACCTGTAGATGTCTGAAACCAGATACCGAGAGACGACTGTACATGTATATGCATATATACACATTTTTTTCTTTCATTTTTTCCTTCAAGTTCTTCCTTTAAACTACCACATTTCCTTAAATGGTGCTGTAGATTGGTTGTCCCTCTGAAGCTTATTGTGACTGTTGGGAGGGTGGGAATCCTATTATGGTAATAGAAAGGTGAGACGTTGAAGAGGATTGAATTGTGAGGACCATGCCCTCGTGAATGGTTTAATCTATTGATGGTTTACTGGTGGCAGTGGGTGTAGTTCTGAGGGGTTTAAAAGGAGAGCATGTGAGAAGCATGCTTCTCTCTCTCTCTCTCTCTCTCTCTCTCTCTCTCTCTCTCTCTCTCTCTCTCTCCTGCTTTTCTCATAATGTGATACCCTGTGTTGCTGAAGTCATGACCAAAGAAGTCCCTCACCAGATGTGTCCCATGGACTTTTGACTTCCCGGCCTCCAAAACTGTAAGCAATGAATTTTGTTTTCTTATAAGTTACCCAGTTTCAGGTATTTCTGTTATAAGCAACAGAAGCAGACTAAAACAAGTGGCTTGACATCTTTCTTTGCCTTTGTATGTCAGTCAAGTTTCCTGAGTGTCTGATTACTTCAAGGTAGAATCTCCTGGGCAATGGTGAACCAGCAGGCAAGCTTGCTTGGCCTATCTGTTAAAACATACACAGAGAAGTCTCTCTGTTCTTAAAAGCAAACTGGGGGGAGGTACCAACCCACACTATGCCTTCCTACTGGCATCAATGGCAACAGCCAGCCTGTTCCAGAACTGTGCAACAAGTGGGCAGGAGTCATCTTCTCTTCCATCACCAGCTGGCTGTCCTCATCCCAGGTGTTTGTATAGTCTCGCCCATACAGGTAATCCTCTTTTCATTCCAAGGACCCTTGATACCATTCTCCTGCCCTGTGAACACTGGCTTACACCTGTATCTTCTTAAGACTTGAAGTTCTTGCATATCTGGGATTTTCTCCAGACTCCAACTATCCAAGTTACTTAGGAATGGGGCTTCCCAGCAGAGTATTGTGATCAGGCTAAGAGAGTGACTGGACCTAGTGATGAAGTTTCTTGAAGAGCATGGATTAAATGTTCGGATTTTAGCCTAAGAATAACAGGAAACCATTGAGTTTTAACTAGGTGAGTGGACATGATTTAATCTGTAGTTTAAGGAGAAATATTCTAGCTTCAGTTTGTTGGCAAATATCCCTGGATGCAGGGAAACTGGTTATAATGGAGACTATAAGAGTCTAGATTAGGGCAGAAATACAGGATAAAAATAGAATACATTCAAGTGGTGTTTAGGTATACAGTCAGTAGAACTGGGTGATAGAAGGGCTGTTGAGGATGAAAGAGGGAGAAAGAGAAGTTGATCAGGCTTCTTTTGGACCAGATAGATGGTTGAGCCTTCATCAAGGCATAAAACACCGGAGGGAGCTCAGGTTATGTTTATTTTCCATGTTATCCTCCCATCCTGTTATGCTCTCAGGTCAGTGTATTTATAGGGAAAAATTTCTAGAGGAGGACTGACTAAATTAAAGTGCATGTGTATCTGAATTTTGGTACCTGTGGCCACATTGCTTTCATTAAAAGTTAATTTTTTTTCTTGGTTGGTTGGCTTGATACATGAAAAGTGATATCTCAATGCCAATCTGATTTTTACTTTTTTCTTTTCTTTTTGGAAGAAAGAATGACCTTTTTTTTAATGTTTCCAAACATCAATTTTTTATTTTTTTTAAATGTTGTTATTGTGGTAAAACATATATAACATAAGAATTTCCATTTTAAGCTTTTTAAAACATATAATCGTGTGGAATTAATTACATTCATAATTCTGTGTAACCACTACCTGTATCTATTTCCAAAACTTTTTCATCACGGTCAACATAAACTCTGTATCTCTTAAGCAATAACTTCTCATTATTCCCACCCTCCCTCCCCCATTACTGGTAAACTCTAATTTACTTCTCCTGGAATTTTTTTCTTTTTCTTTTTTCTTAATTGACCCATAATAATTGTATATATTTATGGAGTACAATATACTTGGGTATATTTTTATTATATGCAATGATCATGTCAGAATATTTAGCATATCTGTCACCTCCAACATTTGTCACCTCTTTGTGTTGGAAACATTCAACATTCTCTAGACTAGCTACTAAAGTTATACAGTAATTTTTTGTTCAGCTGTAGTCTCTTTATATTGCTACAGAACACTAATCCATATTCTTTCTATCTTTCTACGATTTTGTATCCATTGACCACCCTCTCTCCATCACCCCTTTTCCCTTACTAGTCTCTAGTAATCCCTATTCTACTTTCTACTTCTATGAGATCAACTTTTTTAATTTCCATGTACAAGTGAGAACATGTAGTATTTTTTTTCCTGTGCCCAGCTTGTTTCACTTAACATAATTTTCTCCAAGCTCCTTTATGTTGCTGCAAGTGGCAGAATTTCGTTCGTTTTTAATGGCTGAGTAGCTATATACATATTTTTATGAAGTTCCTGTTAATATTTTTGCTCAGTTTTTTATTGGTTGTTTTTCTTTTTTTAACTGATTTTTTTAAGCTTCTCATTCAGTAAAGATATTAGGTCTTTGTCTAACCTATGCATTGCAAATATCTTTGCCAGTTAAGTGCTTGACCTGTTATATACAGAATGTTTTAATTCTTATGTAGTCAAATTGGTGAATACTTTCTTTTACTGTTTCTGAGTTTTTGGTTATGCTTAGAAAAGTCTTCCCTATTCCATAATTATTTGAATGTTATCCTCTCTTTTTTATCTAATATTTTCATAATTACATCTTTCAGTTTAATACTTAATTAATATGGAATTAATTTTGATGAAAGAAGACAAGGCTCCACAGCACGCTTCTCATGGTCTCTATATAATTCATTGAGTAACTCATCATTTCTACTGTTACTTTTTAAAGTATTTTTTAACCGTACATTAAATTGCTACACATATTTATGTCTACTTTTGAGTTTTGTACTCTCTTCCACTGAACCTATCTATTCCAGTGTTAATCTAAACTGTTTTAATTACTATGATGTTATATTTAACATCTGTTGAGGCTAATCCCATTCATTACTCTCATTTTTAGGAAGACACTCTTATGCTAATTTTCCACGTAAACTTTAGAATCAGATTTATTTGAAAAAATTCATGTTGGTGTTATTATTGAGATCAGTTTCATTCCCAAACTTATAGAATAACTTAGGAAACGTTGTTATCTTTATGATGCTGAATTTTCTTAGTCAAGAGAAGTATCTTGATTTACCTATTCATGTCTTTTTTTCCCTTCATGCATAACGTTGAGAACTTTCTGATTTTTATTTATAAGAAAACTTAATTCTTTAGAAAAGAGCTTTATAGTTGGTTCTCTTTGACTTTACACATATACAAGCATTTCATTTGCTAATAATAATTTTGCTTCCAATTTTTACAAGGCATTTTTTTCTCTTGTCTGATTGCATAGGCTAATAACTGCAGAAAGTTCAAACAGTAGGAATGACTGTGTGCATTCTTGCTTTGTTTTGTTTTCCCTGACTTTACTGAAAATGCTTCAGGTATTCAAGAATAATAAACATTTTATCACCTTTCAGAAGAGATAGCTTACACTGTTTCTGTATTTCTCAATTCTCCTGGGTTTTCTTCACGGTCATTCTTTGTCCAATACCTTCAATCCTGAAAATTCCCTCCATTTGTTTAAAGATAAAAAGCAAAGTTCTTCTTCGTCCATTGCTTAGAAAGGAAAAATGGTAGTAGAGGACAGGACGAAAAAGGAGCTGGCTAAACCACAGCGATAGCTGAAGCCAAGGGTTAGAAAAAGTTCCTTCAGGAGAGGGCTATGCTCCCCTGTCACTCTATGGAAGGAAGAGCAGGAGCGTGGGGAGGAGTCGGGGGCACCCCCGCCCCCTGCCCCGCGTCGGTGCCACCCGCGGAGATGAAATGTGATCCCGGGTGGCCGAGGACGCCAGAGCAGCCGCGTCCGGTGCCCGAGCGCCGTGGGGTGAGACAAAGAGCCCTCGCCCCCAGCGCAGCCGGGCCCGGGACGTGCCCGGCCCGGCTCCCACCGAAGGCTCCCGGGGCAATGGCCAGGTCTCCGCTCGACCCCGCTCTCGGCAGCGCTGCTCTGTCCATCTGAGCGTCTTCCACCCTCCCCATCTCCTCCCGGTTCCGGGCACTCCGTTCGCTCCCAGCCTCTCCCCAGGCTGTCTGTCCGTCTGTCCGTCTGTCCTGGCGCGCAACCTCGGGCCACCGGCTTGGATGGACGCGCCGAGGCTGCCCGAGCGTCCAGGGGTCTTGCTTCCGAAGTTGGTCCTGCTCTTTATCTACGCAGGTCAGTGGCAGAGGGCGGCGGGACAGCGGCGGGGGCTCGGGGCTGCGCTTGGGTCACGGCCTGAGCTAACGCGGTTGGGCGGGACGGACCGCGACCTCTGCGGGAGGGCGGAGATGGGACGGTCCCCTCCAGGCGACAACCGAAACGGCGCGCTGGAATCCTCGTCTCGAGCTTCACGCGGTTTTGTTGTTTTATTCCTTTCCTTTAACTTTTCCCTTTTTGCTTTTCTTTTCCCTTTTCTCTGTCTTGGCAAAGCAAATTGTAAACTGCAATCCCACCTTTAGGGGATTTTACTCTCTGGATGGCGTAAAATGCATCCAGTTGTATCCGAGGCTCAAGAAGATTCAGAGGGGAGGGGGGAGCTAAGGGGTGGGAGGAAAGCTTTTTTTCAAAGCACGTGAAGTTCAGAGGTATTGCTGAAGTTTAAAAATAATCAGGTGACTTTTCTATTTTACTATAAGCTACCCTCCACCTCCCGCTTTCTGAATATTACGGTCTTCCCTGTTAGAAATAAAAGCTTTATACCTTTGTTTTCGTTCTTTAGAAGATTCACAAGTGTGGTACAGGGCGATTAGATGCGCTGAGTTCAAATATAAGGTTTCTGAGAGACACGAGTTCACCCAGTCTAATCTGTTTTCCTGAATTTGGGTAAACACTTGTTTACAGGTGAAAGGCATCTTATTTCTCTCACTCCAATTATTCTTGGTGAGAATTACTGATAATTGATGAAGCAAAGAGAGTTTTCTTGTTTTGTGATTAATATGGGGCCCTAAATGGCCTTTCGTTAGTTATTCAAGTATAAAGTTAATTACACATGTGGTCTTTGTATCTGTTCAAATTCACAGAGCAGCGCGAGCAAAAAGCAAAGGTATTTGCAAAATGTTATGTCTCTCTATTCTTATGACAAAATCACAGGCTTACTCATGACCCTGCAATATTGAATGTGTGTATAGCACTTAAATTTACTTTTTGATACTCACAAAGATACTGCAACTGAAGCGAAGACATTCTTAAATGTTGTTACCTGAGCATCAAAAGAATTGAATTTTTCACTGGACCTTGCCAGAAAGGAGTCACCATAACTTCTATAGAAATTTTGAATCTGTTTGTTGAAATGCAAATTAGTGGCTGTCTAGAAGTTATCATTTTAAAGATATTTTAGGATAGGTAAAATGCTGACTTTCTAATACAGGTATTCATAAAAGTAGGACAAGTTCCTCCTATTTAATAAGGACTATCGATATTCTAATCTGTTCATAACATTTATTTATTTTATTTAAATATAAAAATTTGAGGGACTAACAATCAATTTTATTAATATTAGTTTTATAAAAAATTTTCTCTATTGGTTATTTTGAAGCAATGATGATCTTTCCATGTATCTACTTATTAAAAAGTAAACAAAAGTAAGAAAAGAGCAAAAACCAAATATAACTTTGTTTAATGCTCTCCCTTGCCCTTACTCAGCCATTCCATTGAACCAGAAATTTTCTTCTTTTGTCTGTTTTATTCCCTGTGGTGAACTGAACCCTTCTCCTTTGCACGCCCTTCTTCCAGTTCCCCCATGACTAGGTGCCCAACCCCCAGGGCTCAGGAAACCAGAAAAGCTGGCCAGCAACAAGGTTGTTTAGTTTAGAAAGTTTCACTCCATTCGTTGCTCTCCTGAATCCCTCCCTAGTAAGCTATGAAGTAATTGCAAGCCAGTACTAGGTTGACCTATTGTCTTTGATAATAAATATTTAGCTAATAAATTTTTTGGTGCTAATTCCTGGACTTATTATTTCAGAGGCATTTTTATGCTCGCCATATGCATTCAACTAACATTTATTGAGTGAGATATATTGAGTGATATAGAACAGAGGTCATGCTTTGAATCTTCTCTGGAAGGTAAGGTGTGCCCATAAATTAATGTATAAAAGGCTGTGTCATAGGAGAGGTACGATCATGTGCTATTTGTATGCAAAAGAGGGGACCTTATTGCTGATTTAGGAGTGTAAGCTCCATGTGGATGATGTCTATTTTCCTCAGCAAAATATCCTCAAAGATTAATAAAACTCTGGCCCATAAGAGGAGCTCAATAAATATTTGCTCAGGAAAATTGAATTGAGGAAGACTTGCAGGAACTATTTCTTTGAAGTATAGGGGAGGCTTGGACAAAAGGAAGTGGAGTGAACAGGTATAGTGTAAACAAAGGCCAACATTATGAGATGAGTATATGCAACTACAGATTATACCTTTTGGTTAGAAGTGAGGGCTGAGGTTAGATGCCAGAGCACCACAGAAATAAAAATAGTTTGGATACCCTGTTAAATGAATTGCCAGTTTCATGGCACAAAGACCTAGGTAGATGCCCTATCTATAACCTGAATTATTTTACCCAAAGAAAATGCATTAAATTTACATTCCATTTGGTTAAACAAATAAGAGCAAGGTTTCTGTGCTGGAGCCATTGTGTTTTACTGTGGAGTCACTTTTGGAAAGAGACCCAGTGAAGTGTTTATATTATTGTCCAACTCCCACTGCAGGCTACAAAGACAGGATTTGGTCAAGGTTTTACCTTCTGGGCCTCAGCCAGTGACTTCTGTCCCTCCCTTTCCTTCCTCTCTTATCCTTAGCTCTAGCTTGCAAGAACCATTTCTAAGCAAGTGCTTCAAGCCAGATATTTTTTTCCTGTACTGCACATTCCTTAAAGGAGGGGGAGGAAGTGGGGGGAGTTGAGGAAATGTCTTCCAGATCTTGCCTTTCATTAAAAAGCCATTGAAGAAAGTTTGAACTGGATAATTCTCAGGGATATTAACTTGGATATTAGAAGTAGTATTAGTTACCCTTTGAGGACAACTGGAACGTTCCATTCTTTCACAAGTGAGAAGATGTTCCTCTATGGTTCAAATGCTGATCTTCATAGAATTATTCTCAAATAAGCTGGAGAAAGCAAGTAATACAACAAATTGATCTTTGAGGTGTAGTCAAAATATCAGTATGGAAATGTGATTGTGAACATATTTGCTGTATTGTTAAATCTGCCCTTTTTGGTAGCATAATTCCGGGAAGTAGAAAAGAGCACTGGAAAATGCCATGAAACATGATGAACATTGTGTGACATGATCCAGATATTTGTTACAGGTATAATCCAGCTTCTTGGCTACAAGATTTTGGGCTTGGTTTCCTGTAACATTGGCTCAAAATATTTTGATAACACCATGTCCTTATAATAGTAGTAATTGGAGTACAATGGTAGTAATTGAATCTTAGATACATTCATAGAGGGTTTAATAAGATGTCACTGTCCTGGGCATCATTCAAAAGGAACCTATGAAATTATTTATACATTGGTTGTCTTCTCTGACAGAATACGGGGACATTAGTTCTTTCACCATCCGAATGGCTTTTAAGAATGTGAAACAAAACATTACTGCTAAGACCAGTCTAAATATTTGAATAAATTAAACAGCACTAATAATGAGAGCTATGGAAAACTTTTTCACTGAGAAAACTATAAAATAAGTAGCTTTTAAAAGTATGACATGCTCTGCAAAAAAGCATATGATGTCAATATACTAGCTTCCTCTTTGGATTTAAGTCATTAGATTGTGTTTCTGTCTTAAAAATTTAAAAGTGAATTTAACTAGAGTTATTCAGTCTTACAAAGGTAATTATTTTTCCCTCTTACTTCTTACCACAGTCCAGAGGAAAACCTCGAGATTGGTGATTATCACTCTATTATGTGGAAATAAAATTGAGGGGGAAAAAATGTGAACTTTTTCACTTGTTCCACAAAAGCCATGAAGGCAGTGAACTTTGCTACCTTTCAATCATGTCTCTTTGTAAAGAATCATCTTGGCAAGAGGGTGACTTAAAAGCACTGTAAATTTTCTTTTCTAGATAAATCAATTACATGGACATCTAGACATAAATATGATATTTGTACTTCTAGTTATAACTTTGATAGAAAAGCAAAAATTTTATGTAATTTATATAATAGTTGATATTACTTTCAGGAACTGAGTTGGCAATAACTCAATTTTGTGATTCTTGAACATACAACTTAAATGTTTTTCTAATTATATGTCTGAAACCCACATATCCATCATAATTTATACTACTGTATAAATCAATGATAACCTTAACTTCTTAAACATAAATCATTTAGGCAGAATAAAGAATTTTGAAAAGATAGGGTAATTTTCATTGAACATTTTGGATATAATTTTCTTTACTGAAAAAATATACAGAAAAAAATAGTTTGGTTTGCTCCAACATATCTTTTTAATTAGAAAGTACCTTTGCCGTCTTCACATAGTGCTGCTTTATAGCTTATTGATTCTTTAATCAGACATTAAACTCTTATCCACAAATTAATTACCTACAGGAACTACTTCTGTAACTAACTCATCATCTTCCAACTCAAATGGATTAACAGGATATAGACTTATTTATGTTACCATATGTATGCATACTGTAATTATGAAGGTAAAAAATGGCATAAAAAGAAAAGTGTATAATGCATTGTCATGGAAAATACACATTATTTTAAAATTATCCCTGTTTGATATTATCCATGTCAGTAACCCTTTCTATTAATTGGGGTTACTTGAGAATATAATATCTTAAAGTCAGAAGACTTTTAATTTAAAAATTATCACAGGAACTCTATTGACAAATTGAATGATGATTAGTTGAATCATTCATTCATTCCTCCCTTCATCATCTCATTCAACCAATGCAGACTACCAACTGAGGTGCCTGGTGCTGGAGATTCAAGAATGGTCTTTGCTTTTATCAGCTTAGAGTCTAATGGAGAAGACAGGCCAATTTAGACCCTTACATACGTTTTAGAATTCTGAGTACAAAACAAGATCTAGATATACTAAAGAAATATGATCAATTAAGATATGAAATAAAATAATTTTTCATGAAGCTGTGATTTCACGACTGCAATTGCTCTTTTGTGGCTTTTATTTTGTAGATGATTGTCTTGCTCAGTGTGGCAAAGACTGCAGATCTTACTGCTGCGATGGAAACACGCCCTACTGTTGCTCCTACTATGCCTATATTGGGAATATTCTCTCGTAAGTATTGGTCAAATTTGGCAACATTTCCCTTGTCCATTTATGTTTTCAAAAAATACTAAGGGATGTGGGCAAGAGACTTTAAGATTGGTACTTGACATAAAATCTTTACTGGAGACATTAAATACTCATCACATCACTCTCTAGTGTGTTATATTATTTGACAAAATATGCAAATTAATATACAAAATAAATTGCCTTTATTAGTGAAAAAGTATTCTTGTATTGCTTAATTTTGTGTACTAAAATAATGTTTTAAGTAAACCATACTCATATTATTGATAATTTTTTAATGTTGTTAATGATATGTTTTTGTTTGCTTTGTTGAAAGATTTGTGAGTTAAAATTTATTTAAGTATGACCAGTTTATTTTGCCATCCATGTATTAATTTGTCTGATGCATCTAGTAGATGTCAGGACAAAGAGAGGCTATGAATAAAGAACAGTCGAGATATGAAATGTCAGTTCTCTACATAACACATATAAAGCAACTTCAGGAAACACATTTAGAGCCCAAGAAAAGCGAGGCATGAATAATGTAAAGTGCTAAATAACAGACCACACACACATACACACACACTCACACACACACACACACACACACACACACAAAGAAATGTATACACCTAGAATGTGTTAAGTATTTCTCTGTAACAAATTAAGAATTTATTTTAGAGCTGCTTCAGGGCAAAGAGAAATGTGGAAGCAGGACCTGCCTTCTGGGTTGTATGTCTGGAAAATAGTGCTTGTCAGTTCCTCCAGGGAGGAACCACACTGTTGAGGAAAAATAAAAGGTAAGAGAATTAGGAACATAAGAATTTCTTGAGTCAAAATCCCCCAGGGCTTTCAGAGAGTGACAGCAGTCTAGCCTCTGTCCTCTTCTGTTTTTGTTCTTCAAGTGACTATCAGGATGATTTGAGAAATGTTCTGTTCCCAAATAGTTCTGCTTAACTCGTGCCCTATGAAGGCTCAAGTGGAAACAGGAAATATTAAGCTCTAAGTCATACGTGCCTGGCTATTTTAGGGACGTGTGTCCATTGAGACGTCTTATAACACATCCTCCATTTCATGAGAATAGAAAACCTGGCACCACATAAACTTTCTAGAATTAGTGTTGGGGCCGATATTAGAAATCATGTCTCTCTGAATATAGCCCCCAAAATCATACTTCGAGATGCTCTTGAAGACTATTATAGCTATTAAAGAAATGTCAGGCTGTGATAAAAAAAATGATGTATGGAGTCTAAGCATTCTTTGAAATACAAACAACCTAAATAAAATGTTTAAATTTTTCCTCATGAATGATTTGTTGGAAAAGAGATTAAGCCCACTTCCTACATTAGAAAACTACCAGAATGATTTTTTACTGGAATGTATCAGCTCAAATAGAAACATATAATGATGCTTACAGTTGTATATCACTTGACAATATTTAAGGTCATTTAAAATACATTATTAATAAATTTAAATTTTAACAGCCAGATGCTGCTGTTCCAGGTAGATGTGTGAGGGGTCCAGCAGGTGGTATGGGTTTGGGGAACATGAGGTCAAAGTGATTCCTTGATTCTTTGGTCCTCCGGCTCCTGGCCCATTTCTCTGTCCACTAACTACATTATGGGGTAAATTGTGCTCCTATATCTCACCTCATAGCTACTTCTACCCTGGTATATTTATAGAGAACACATAATTACTAATTATTCAGGATATTTTTAAAAATTAAATTTATAGATATGCTTTATATGATTTACATTTGCAATGAAGTTCACATTTGTATGGTATATATTCTAGATCTTTAACTAATTTCACCATTGGTTAAACTAAAGAATTCGTTGAGTTAATACATTTATCTGGGTTATTAGGACCATGTGCCTGTTACGTTTTTAAAAAAAAAAAAAGAATTGTGTTTTGGAAGAGAAAATAAACACAGATGGTATTATATTTCAGGCAGTAAAACTGAACTTTCTGTTCAAAATAGAAATAGAAACCACTGAGTAAATCCCTTGCTAAACAATTCTTAGAAAAAAAAAAAAAAAAAAACTTTAGTGTTTCCCCCCTGGATAAAGAAGAGTACATTTTCAGGATTTCCAGTTATTGTTTAACAGGCAGTAAAACTGAACTTTCTGTTCAAAATAGAAATAGAAACCACTGAGTAAATCCCTTGCTAAACAATTCTTAGAAAAAAAAAAAAAAAAAAACTTTAGTGTTTCCCCCCTGGATAAAGAAGAGTACATTTTCAGGATTTCCAGTTATTGTTTAACAGTTGAAAAGAGTTCTTAACTCCCCCCCAAAACTTTTTTTTTTTTTTTTTTTTTTTTTTAAGTTGAAGAAAAAATCAGTTCCAAGAATACTTACAGGAGTTTTTTCATGTACATGTTTTCAAATATTGTTGTTTGGAACTCCTTAACGTATGCTCCCTCTCTTTTAAGTATCCATATTCTGAGTAAAATCATTTAATTGTCTTAACAGAAAGTTCAATCTTTGTGGTTATCAGAAGACTAGTTAGGAAGAAAGCAATAAACACAATGAAATGTTATGTATCATAACTACAATTTGCTTATAATTTGGTTTATATTTTTATTTGTTTTCAAAACAAAAATGTTAGCTCAGTTTAAAATGAGCTAAAAAGAGTACAAAATTTAATTCGGGTCATTCTAAGCTGTTCATAAATTGGTAAGGTTAGGTCCACTTGACCTTTCTTGAAGCTGAGGCCTCCTGCTAGTCACCATTAAAATAATCAGAGTTGAGCAGAGATGTTTTGCCCTTAATTCTGTTTACTATAATGCCTTTGCTGTTTTTCAAACTAACTGTTCAGATTCATTTTTAAAGAAATCACAGGAGCTAATTTTAAATTTATCTTTTAGTTGAAAAGTCTTATTTTGCTCAGTCTCCCCATCTTTCTAGATATTTTCTATTCTAAATTAGAGTTAATTTGGGCAAATAAATTAAAACTCCTCCCAATTTAAAAATTTTAGTTAGGAATTTTAAGACTTATTTCTGTCTCATGAAAAACTTAAAACATAGCACATCCACTTTGGGTCATTATGGTCACAGATACTGACTTTATTATAGGAGAATCATAGTGCTGTCTTCTAAAATTTAAGAATAATTTTCACAGTAGTCAGCAGGTACAGTTCAATCAATCAATTATTTGTAAGTGCATGTTGAGTGCCTGTTACCATGGCAGAGCTGGACTAGGTCCTGGGATCCAAAATGAATAAATGACGTACCCTGACTTCTAAGAACTCAAAACCTAGTAAGAGAAGAGAGTGTAGACAAATAATTTTAATTCAATGAGCTAATCTATGAAGTATTATTGGAGGACCAGAAAGAGAAAACAGCTAAGTTTGGGTGGGTGTGTGTGTGTGTGTGTGTGTGTGTGTGTGTGTGTGTGTGTGTGTGTGTGTTTAGAATGAGAGGTTTAGGGAAAACCTCATAAACGTGGGATTTGATCAGTTTTGAAGGAAGAGTAGATATTTACGGATGTGGACAATGAAGAAAGGGAAATGCATTCCAGAGACTCGCATACAAAGAAGAACATATAAGAAAGGAAATTATCAGTTTGGGAAAACCCGTGTTGTTCAGTGTAGTTAGAGGGAGAATGTTACACTTTGAATATAATGTAGAAATAAGCAGATAAGACAAAAGATAGGTCCTTACCAACATACTTTTATTGGCCATTCCTACCACAACTAAAACGAAATAACTCAGTACTTTTCTGGATATAAATATAAACAAAATACTTGGTTTTATATAGAAAGGACAAATTCTTTGACACCACTAAGACAATGGACAAAAGTGGAACAGCTCCAAATAAAGGTTGTTTTTATTTATTCCATACTCAAAAGATTTGGAATGCACACCTTAGGATGTTACACTGTTTGGAGCTATTTATGACAGAACATGTAACCTTGTAATTATTTTTCCATTTAAGAAAGTTTTGACCATCAGGGCAACTACTTGAAGATTAGAAGTGTCAGTATGTTTAAAAATAAGGATTAGGTCACTTAGAGAAATAAACAATTTCCCACCAGATTGATTTTCAGACATTTCATTCAGCAACTCTTCTTCATGGAAGATAAATATTCTGTGATGAATATGGAAAAGGATATTTAAATTTTTGCTGCTGATGGAATTTAATTTACATTCCTTACAGAATGGATCCAACATAAAGATGCGACTTGTATTGCACTCTTTAGAATTGGTAGAACTAAAGGAAATAGAGAGAGCAGTTGAGTAGGCTAATTAGTTATTCAATGCAACAAACTAAAAACAGGACTCTACTAAAAATGAAGGTACTCTGCTATGTGAGTAAGAGAATAATTAAATATGTAAATTGAATATGAACCAAATATTGACTAGTTTGGACTGAGTTAGCCAGATGACAAGATATAGTATTTAATCCTCTAACTCAAAAATAGATTTTTGCTTTTTCAGTTTGCCATTGTAAAATGCTGATCTGTCTAAGAATTCTTCAGAGCACCATCTGGACAATATAAAATCCCCACAGGAAAAAAATCAAGAGGAAGAACTAATAATGGAGATCCTGGTGGGATTAAGTTTCTTTTCTTCTCAATGAAATGTAAAAGATATATTACCCACAGTTTTGTAAAGACAGTTAGTTAATAAATATCACGATGGTGATTTTAGAGCCGTGCTATGCATGAAAGCAAAACTGAGTTAGGAGATAAAAGATTTCATTTTTTCAAATGGCATTTGAGGTCCTATGATCATTAAGTATCTGAGTGTTCTGAATTAAACCTGTGAGGCTATTCAAACCCTGACAGAAACATATTGCATTGTAAAAGGCTTTTGGCATTGGTAAAAACATCATTTAAGTTCATTTAACTTTAAAAATCTTAGTACTTATATATGAGAAAAAACACCTCTGAATAGTACATACTGAGCAAATCAAAGTTCATAGGACTTTTATTTTTGTTGTAATAATGACACAAAGATAAGTAACAAAATAATGCTAAAATAAATATAAACTTGATTTATTA